TCCCAGTATCCTCTAGTCCCAGTTGGAAATATGAATATTGACAAAATATTTAACACAAGATTGTTCAAGATTGCCTTTAGTAAAGTAAACCGACGATCTGTGTCATGTAAAGCCTTCTTTAAGATTGACCTTATGCGAATCTCTAGACTTTTTTGTGGGGATCAAGGCTATCCTGATGATTTTGCTCTGTTAACTCCAGTAAGACCTGTTCAGATGCGATCCTAAATAACAGAGCGAGAAGACAAGCTAGAAAATTTAACAGATACCTAGCAAGGAGAAGAATCAAATTTGAACACGTATTTAAGGACATGTAGTCTTACAAGGCAATAGGGAGTATTTGGAGACACCCCAGATGGTTAATACCTGCCTGCATTGAATTGGTTGCCTTCTTGGCAGAGAAGCGAGTCAGGACTTTTTGAGAACATTTAAGATCCATCATTTTAGAACTGTATCGCTATCTGAAAGAGTGGGCGGTGACTAGATATTTTGAGGCGCAGTTGGCCAGCAACAAGAAAGGATTTTTTCCTGTGTTCCAGGTAGGTTTATGATACACTTTACCTATCTGAAAACTCTGTTGTATATATCCTGCTAACAAAACTATTTTCAGGATCTTGAAAAACCAGGGAAGTTCCCAGAAGGCAGTGGAATGCTGTTGATTACAGTTGCAGAAAACGAAGGACGAAGAATCGAGAAACAATCTTTCGAGAAAACCAAAGCAGAGATTGTCGAGATGTTGAGGGGAGTTTATGGACAGGACGTACCAGAACCGACAGGTCAGGATTATGGGAAGGATTTTAAAAGTGCGCTTTGCTTCGTGGGAAGAATTTTGAAAGTGTCTTGAAAAGGATATTATCCAAGCTCGCTTTGCTCTTTGGGAAGGATATCACAAGTGTGCTTTGCTTCATGGGGAGGATTTTCCAAGCGCTATTTGCTTTATGAGTAGTATTTCACATGCGCGATTTTCTTCATGGGAAGGATTTAACAAGCGCGATTTGTGTCATAGGAAGAATTTGGTAAGCGCGCTTTGCTTCACGGGGAGGTTTTATTAAATTGCACTTTGTTTGTAAGGATTTACAAGCGCGCTTTGTATGCGTAGTATCACACTGCAACTAACATTCTATTACTCTTTCTTTCTRTTCCCCTTTCGGAAGCTCAGAGGGAGACTGGGAACGAATTTTTTGCGCAGGGAATTATGGGATGGTTTGCCCCACATTTCTTTGCACGGCAAGTTTGTTCCCAGGCTTTCTCTGATTTCCGTAAAGCGGACTTAACAGATATATTCTACCCCAGATGGTTCACGAATCCCTTTACTCGCGGCACATTTACATWTTCACCACTTGGTACTACATCTCAAGACATTACGAATCTTGCTATGAACTTAGAAAACTTGTACTTCGCTGGCGAAGGGACGAGCGAAGACTGGCACGGGTATATGCAGGGTGCATATCTGACGGGTCAGGAGAAAGCACGAATAATATCCAGCATTATTAAAAAGCAAGACACTGAGGATTGCCATCTGGACTAAAATATGATGCAAATCAAGAAAAATTACATATATTATTCAATTTATTTATCTTCCCCCCACCTCCACCCCCCTGGGAAAATGAGTTCTCTCTCATGTATATCACATTAAACCAGATTTAAACGTTTCTGCCTCCTGTCATGGCTGCCATCACGTGATAAGCCTAAATACTGACATTATTTAATAGATACTTTTCAGTTTGGGATGATTTTCCATTCCAGACCACGTGTCATTCCCTGGAGTATCATTTCTTTGCTTATTAGTACTATTTAATATACATTAGTATGGATAAAAGTTTTAAAAAGCTTCAAATTTGAACTGGTTTTAAATGGCAAAAAAGAGTCTAAAGTATAAGGATTCATCGATTAATGAATCAAACAAATGCAAAAAATTATAAAATAACAATGAAAATATATCTGTATTTATGAATAAAATCCACATAAGAATTTGAATTTAACATTTTTCTGTAAATATTTTTTTTTCTTCTTTTATCGACTTTTC